TTGTACGAGGGCTGTTCAATAAATAATGTCCTCGGTGCTCGGAAAGAAGCAAACGACGCTTTTCAATGATTTAGTCTTCATGATTTTACTTATTAATCTCTTTTAATTCAAACACATGTCCGTAACATTTTTTATCCAATTTCTGATTGTTTTTAGAACTCATTTTAGGGTACGACCCTTAGTATACTAGAAAATGGCAGATCCAATGATTTCCTGGACTTGTTTTTTCCTTCTGAAAGGTGTTTTTTTTTTAAGTTTGGAAATAGAAACAAGTCAAAAAGGTCAAAGATCTGGCAAATATTGTTAATGTGAATGTGAAAAAAATATTTTTCTGTTTATCCAGAAAACCCCTTTACTCTTCAGGGCATGCGGGTTTGGACGCTGTCATGAAGAAAATTAATGTAGTGGATCCCTGATTCTAGGTCCTTCCTCTAATAAACCTTTCAATTTTGTTGCAAAAAATGCTTTCTAGACTCCTTCAGATATTAAACTGTCTCCCCGAATACGAATTTGAACAACAATACTACTAGTATTTAAGAAAATTGCATATAAATCTTTGTGCTCTTGCAAATCTTTGCTTTTGTCAGACCTACGCCGTTTTTATCAAGTACATCTTATGGTAAATTTTGTTTTGATGATTTTTAGCAATAGATCCATGTTCCAATATCTGTTTGAATATCAAACAAACGTGGATAACTACAAATACTGATATTTTAAAATAATTGTTAAGACTTTCGTACACGCTGTCGTTTTCACTCATTTTTCAAAATATAGGGTGACCTTTGAGTTCCAAACTTTTTTACTGTCAAACGTTTCTTAAAAACAGTGTTAATTACTCCCGATATGATGTCTATCAAATTTGCTATGCGTCTTAAAGTCAATCATACATAATCAAATATTCTTTGTAGAAATTTGGCAAACAGTACATAAGTTGTTATAATTTTTGTTGGCAAGGAGGGTATTCATTTTTGATGCCCATTATATAATTTTTTATCATTGAAATCCACCTGCCCATTTGTCTATAGAACAGGCATAGGTTGTTGTAAATGACACATATTTCAGTGAATATTTCTTTGGGATTTTTGACAAGTTTACTGATTCTTTACCATTCATTTATAATGCAGTGTCTCGAAAAGCCCTTGTTTCCCAACTTAATTCTCACGATGAAACTATAGGATAAAAAGTGGTCACATAAACTGTTATAAATTTAGTAAAGATTCAATAATGAGAGAAAGTCAAGTTAAATGTCATATGATATCTGTTTTGTATGTCATACAGTTCAGGACATTATTTATTGAACAGCCCTCGTACGTGCATAATATTCGCATAAAAAGAACAATATCCCTAATATATCAAATATTGTTTTTAATTTTTAGTGAAAATATTTGTTATTGCAATACAAAAATTACGAAAAACAGTTTACAAAAACAGCAAATATTCAAGTTAGCAAAGCTGCAATTGCCATTGATATCTATGTAAATTACAAATGTCACCTGCGTTAAGCATGCACAAGTGGTACTATATCCCCTCGTACTTCCTTGTCAGGGAATAATAAAGTGTTCACAAACTTTTTGTCTGAAATAATTTTTTGTTAAAAATTTAAAAAAAATGATCTTTTCTATATTTTTCCCCAGTAAAACTGAAATATTCTTTTATGGCTCCATTCAACCAGAGGTCATGCTTCGTTAAAAATAAAAATAAACTACTCTACGAGATCCATGCTGGCATCTCCATATCACTGATCATGACCTGCTGTTCTTGAAATGAAGTTTTTACACTTCGTTGTCGACGGGTTTTTCCCAGTTATTTCTCGATCATGACAAGGAGTACACGGCGGATAAGCTTGAATTATGTTTGTTATCTCCATATATTTCATTTTAATTATTTTATATATTTCCATGACCCCTACCATAGTTTAGCCCGACACCAGAGCCGAATTTTGAACGAAATACTAGTAATCTATTTATAAAATGAAACTTTCACTCAAGTTTTAAATTCTGGTCCAGTGGCTTTTAAGAAGAAGATTGAATCGACCAACCAAATATTCAGTGCATTTGTCTCATCTCTTCTTTAAAATGATTGTTGTCCCCTTAGTTTAGAGAAATTTTGATATGTTTAATGGCATGCGATATGGTTGAAATTAGTTGAGTGGTTCTGGAGAAGTTAAAGATGTGAATTATAGTTTGCGCAAGACTAACGACAAATAACGACAGACAAAAACAGATAGAAATAGGTAACCTAAGTGACCATAAAAACTCAAAGGAGCCCCCTTACCAGTATTTTCTCGTCAGTAGGTGCCATCTTTTGACGAGTTGTGTCTTTCATTAACATTAAATGATGTCACTTACCTGACGTCATTATCACCTGTTCTTCAATGTAAAATAATGAGGCAAATTTTTTTTTTATAATCAATTACTATCTACGCTGACAGTTTTACTGTTAACTAGAGTAGTTAGAACTAGGAAAAGCATTAAATTACATTTGTTCAGCTATTGATTTTTTGATGGAAATAGTAAAAAAAGAACTACCCTGAAATTATAATGAACCTCAAAGAGATTTTTATTTCACAGTGTATAACAAACTTAGCTAAAATTACTGTAATATCTTGATTTAAATCATAATAATGGTTGTTCAAGAAAATGTATGCCATGGCCATGGCACAATACCTACCTCTTAAATAAAACCATTGATTAAAGCAACCTATCTGCTCTAACTGCTGAGTAACTAAAATTCTATGTAAAATTTTGAAGTTCAACCTTTTCCCCAATTCTATAATTTTTATCTTGTAAAATATTTTAGTGAATTTTTCTGCTGTAAAAATGGACGTTTTTATTTCTAAAAACTCATCAAATGACTACAATTTGTGCAAAAATAAGCAACGAAAGTTACTTAAACCTTTATAAAGGACTGTTCCATATAACCATTCATTGTTTTGTCACGCATAGTCACCAATTCTGATGAACTCGGCTCATTTTTAAAACTTGAAACGTGTAACAAATAAAATTTGGTTGATACGTGGTTTTTTTCTTTCCATAAAAACGATGAAACGATATATGGAGGAAGCAAACAGTATTCAAGTTCAAACGTCCATTCAACTAATGCAAATCAGAAACAGAACAATCACGAACTTCTAAAGCATCAGAGGTAGGATCAGTTGCCATGGAGGAGTGAGCATCCCCTGCTGACCGGTCACACCCACCGTGTGCGCATTGTAATGATAAACAAACAAAGAAAACCCCAAACAAACAAACAAACAAAAAAAAAAAAACCAACCCCCCCCCCCCCCCCCCAAAAAAAAATTGTGTCAACAAACATCTAAGACAGTTTAAGTTTAAAATTATGTTGTATTATGCAATATCAAAACATATGTACAAACATATCACAAGTAATATACATATTTAACAAAAACTTGGCGATAGGGCAAACCCAGCTATGCAAGATACACGAAGGCCTCAGAATCATAAGGCATACTAAAGGTCCACTTGAGCAGAACAGTAAGGTGTGCTATTCTGCCAAGTGGTAGTAAGCTGTATATTCTGATGCGAGCTCGACGACTCCGTTTGATGTTTGAGGTGTCAAACAGTATTTTGTACAGCGGTACCCGGACGGAAGTTGAGCTGAGAAAGGTCTGGTCATGTCGGTGGAAAGCCAGCTGGCATACTCCGTGACTCATTGAGTATGATGAGTTTGAGGCGTCAAACTGATATACTCGGGAGCCTTGTAACGTTAGACCTAGCAAATCAAATGACCTGACAGATGAAACAGTAGGGAGTCTGTTTCCTGTGAATTTTGGGGGAAAAATTTTGCATGTTGAGGTACAACATGTAAATATTGCCCGAAAGTCAGTTATGAAAATGATGTATAGCATTATTGAGTAGCTGAGTTGCCCCAAAATGAGAGAAAAAATAAAAATCACATAATCGCAAATGAACAAACATAGCATAATAAGTGAGAAAACTTTATAGAAAAACAGAAACAATCTGTTCAGATAGCATACATGAATTGATGAAGAACATTTGTATAAGGGCAAGTTTTTATACTTATTCTGCTATGAGTGCGAGTTGTGCTTGTCTAATATCATCAGATGGTGTTCGTATGTATCTGCAGTATGAATCTGAAGACCACCTGCCTAACACTTTGATTAGGTGATCTTCAATGTGGGCGGAAGCCGCTGAAGTGGCAGCGCCTATGCGGAAAGAGTGGCCACTAAAAGCTTGGGAATTAATCCCGACTTTAACTAAAGTATCCCTAAATAGGACAATGAAGGCGCTCCTAGTCAAGGCCATGCCATCTTCTGTTACAAATAAGGGGTCGCTTAATGAAGGGGAGGACTGTAATCTTAATTTAAGATATTTGCAACATGCATTATGAGGACATGTTTCTGAGCTATTTTTGAAAAGTTTGATTACAATCCCTTTTCTGAAAGGGTCAGTTTTCGATATCTTTAGACGTAAATCTACCAAATCGTCAAAAATTTGAATATCTGACATGCAGATGTGGGAAGATGGATCAAAACAATTGTATATAGTGAATTCACCACATCTCAAAAACCCGAAAAAAGCTACTGAACATGTAGCTAGTAGCAAAACATTGTTGAAAACCATACATTGATCAGGTTGTTGCAAAAAATGACACAATTGTTTGAGCACATCAAAAGTAACAGGTTGTCGAAGGTTGTTTGGTCTTATTTGGTTTCTTTTGACACCGTTAAGGGCTGCAAATAACCTTGGCATTTCACTGACATTGGGATACGAAATATTATGTCTTATACAATGGAAGCGTATGCCACATAGGTACAACTTAATTGTTGCATAACTAAGATCTAAACTAGAATAACAGTGCGCAACAAAATACAGTAATAAGTCTTGTGACACTGGAACATAAGGTAATTGTATCTCTGGAATTATGTTGCACATGAGTAGAAATCTGGTGTAAGCTTGAAATCCTGTCAGGTAGGATTGTCTAGTCCTGGGGGGCAACGGCAGCGTCGAGGAGGTTGTCTACGATAATGTCAAGTCTTTGAGGACCTCCTGGTATTCCGGGACTTTGCAAGGCGTTTTGTCGGCATCTGGAGCCAGCTGTTGAAACCTTGTGATCTGTAAACGAGACAGACTATCAGCAATAACATTTCGTTTACCTTCAAGATATTTGCTTTTAAATACAAAGTTATTAGTAGCTGCACATAAAGTAAGGCGGCGAACTAGTGCCATGATCTTTGGGCATTTGGAGCGACCCTTATTGATTATAGCCACTGTAGTTTGGTTATCACAAGAGAATACGATGCGTTGCTTTTTCCATGATTGACCCCATAGCAAAGCGGCCACGACGATTGGATACAATTCGCGGAATGCAATGGAGAGTTCGTCACTGTCTTTACATGTACGTTGTAAAGGAGGAGGCCAGGCTTCTGAAAACCATTGTCCTTGGAAAAAACCTCCATGCCCAAGGGTTCCTGAAGCGTCTGTGTAGAGTTGCAGAGCGTCTGAACTGACCTCGATTTCATTATAGAACACAGATATACCATTCCATTGTTTGAGAAAGATTAGCCACATTTTTATGTCGTCTCTGGAGCCTTTATTCAAGGTAATATGAAAATGGAGCTGTTTGACTGTTGTTGACAGGGTAATAAGGTGTGACACGAAAGAGCGTCCTGGAACTATGACTCTGCTAGCGAAACTGAGATGTCCGAGTATTTGTAGAAGCTTTTAGTGCAAGATTTCTTTATGAGAAATTCTTCAATGAAAGATATGATTCTAGAAATCTTGTCAAGCGGCAGTCTGGCTTCCATCTTAAGAGAGTCTAAAGTGATTCCAAGGAAGGTAATAGTGGTATCTGGTCCCTCTGTTTTTTGCTTGGCTATAGGTATATTTAACCTCTTAAAAATGAGCATAAGTAAGGCCATGTTTCTTTCTCCGCAGTTGTCGGGCTCTTCAAAGGTGATGAAGTCGTCCAATAAATGCAAAATGTACTTGATGCCGTAGTTGTGGGTAGCTATCCAACAAATAGCTTGTGCGAGGCAGTCGAAGATTCTTGGACTAGATCTGCAGCCAAAAGCAAGTTTGGTATAGAAGTAATATAGGCCTTTCCATTTCAAGCAGAATAAATGCCACTGGGATGGGGAAATAGGTATCAACTTAAAGGCATCCGATATGTCTGTTTTGCACATTGTGGTTCCTGGACCAAGTTTTTGAATAATATTTACGGCATCATCGGTAGTGACGTAGGTTAGAGAGCATTTCTCTTTGTCGATTAGAGAATTGATGCTGGGATCAGAAGGATCTGAATGAGGTGCTGATAAGTCCACTGTTAAACGTGCTTTATTTGAATATTTTTTAAAGCTAACTCCAATGGGACTAACTCTGTAGTGTGGAAAAGGAGGTTCGACAAAAGGTCCTTGTAGGTAACCCTTCTCCACCTCTTTGCTTAGAAGATCATTCACTATTTGGGGGTGTGAGGTGGCAGAGAGAAGATTCCGGCATTCTTTACTTGGAATGTCCAGGTTATTAATCATAGTATCGAATCCATAGCGAATCCATAGCGCAGGCCATCACAGAGATATTTAACAAAATTTGAATCAGGGTGCATTCTGAGTTCCAATTCTAGACGATCAATGTCAACAGGCTTGGAAGCGGCAAGTGGAAAGGAATTTGGTTTAAGGTTATCTAGTCATTCGCTCTTTTTCGTGCTTTCCTCACATGCATGGCTTCCACGGTCGCTTGACTTGCAGGTGTTGCATACGTGAGAGAAAATGCAGTTTTTTCTACTGCATTTTCCTGCATTGAAGTTATTGCAGATTTCCGAATTGTAGTCTTTCGTGGTCTTGAGAGACTGAGCATTTTTCAGCATCTGGTATTGAGATGGTTTAATGCGTAAGAGAGGACAAAACGAGCCGGAATGTGATGTTGAGTTGCAAAGATGACAGGCGGACACTCTGGCATTCCCCATGACCATGCTCAGTAGGGGGTTATCCTTGATGGACCAATCAACTTTGATGTTTAAGTCATGCAGGGCAGCAGCCGCTCGTGCAGAGAACTGTGTGTGGTAATCGTAGAACTTCTGGCCATACACATTTGAGATTTCTACGATATTGCCTTCGTATCTATCCAGCTCAACTCTTCTTTCAGGGAATTTAGTGCACATGATTCTCTTGTATTTCCCAAAAGCGGTTATAAATTCGCTGATTGTCAGTGTTTTGTGAAGGCGAGGGTCTTCGGTCTCCAAAACATTGAGGCTCATTGTGATTTCTGGCACCGCCTTGTTTACTTCATATTTGGGTATAAGAAGGCTGGCTAGGTTTACGTCTTTGCCTTCCCAGATTTTACGTTTTAGAGAATCGGATAATATGTCTAACTGAGGCAAGCATTCGGCAGAAACGCCGAATTGAGTAGCTCTAAGGGACCCACCTACTAATGGAGTTCCTTGAACTATGGCTCCGTTTCCTAGCTCCGTCAATGTGGCAGAGTTTCTCGCCGTCTCTAAAGTGTATGATGGTTTATCTTCTTGGTCTTTCTTGGCCATGTTGGTCACAGTTTTTTTGTAATTCCTCGATAGTTTTTTGCATAGCTCGTAGAGTGGATTGTATGTTTTCATCCTCGGGCGGCGCCATATTGGATTGGGCGAAAGTGACTGTATTCATGCGCACTTGTAGACGATTTGAAGCTAAGGAGTCTGCGATGGAAAATAGTTCTCTCGTATTAGAATTAGAATTCGCTACACTGGTTTCCGAATTAGGTTGACTCAGTAGATTGGCGGCAATGTCGGTATTGACATTGCGGTTAACGGCACTGGGGTTCGGTGTGTTTCTGTCTTTATTTTCGAGAAACAGTTTCAGAGTAGTGTTTCTGTCCATAGAGGATGGGACGGCAATTCCAATATTTCTCAGTTCTGTTCTTAGTTTAGAAAGAGTCCAATTCTGTGGATTGGACGAATCCAAGGCATTCGTCCTTTGGCGGAAACGGCCGCGTCTCTCTGCCATCGTCAGTTTGTTGCTTAATTTTTTCTTACACTATACAAATAACGGTGATAGTAAACAGTCACAATACGTTCCTAAAGGCAGATATAGTCAAGGAACACGGTAAAACAGCAAAGTTGTTGAATGGGAAACACTTTCCACATGAATAAACACAAAAGTAAATAATAACATGTACATAGATCATTGACGCTTACACAAAAGAAGGATATTTATATCAGCCAATCAGAATACAGAAAAATATAAATTAAAAAAGAAACGGATTTAACACGATAAATTTTCAAAAATATAATTACCCGAGCTGTAATTAAGTAGGCCTAACTAAGAGTGTATTGAGGTCTATGGGAACAAGCAATTTTTTTTTTCAAAGAAATATTTAAATACTATAAATATCAAAAATGCTATATTGGAAAGATGCAAATGATAATCAAGAATAGAAAAAAAGATTAAAAAATAATTTTTCATCAGATAGATTTAAAAAAAAAAAGAATTTTATTGATGAAAAGCGAAGGGGGATAACTATTCAAGGACGGGTCAAGGTCAAAGATTAGGAAACATTCCACTCTTACATATTGAGACTAAAACATGAAGATACTGTCTCCATTTACTGAGTTTTCAGTCAATATATATCTGCAATGCAATCAGATTCACTGAATCGCTATTATGGATCGGATACCTTAAATAAATTTGGGACTTTGAACATGTTTAGAGATGTCATTTTCCATAATTTATGATTTATTGCAAAGTTAACCACGACACATAGAGAATTGAAGTAAATTGAAATCCATGACGTGTTTTCTTTTACATAACTTTTGCAATTTCAATCACTCTTAATTTTCTACCAGAGAAAATGATGTAATTAAATACATTTTAGGGCATTCTATTCGATGTTATATTTGCTAAATTGGTTTCTGTTCCTCAATATTTCGATGTCTTTAAACATATTTGAGGAATTAAACAGGTGAATGTCACGGGCAAAGTTAGATTACCATTGTCCTAAATCCTCTTAAAACTCTTTTTCTCCTAGAATTGAAGAGTTTAAGAGTATACAAGTTGGCCCTGTTAAAAAAATAACAGTTTAGAATATAATATAGTATGTTGTCAGACGAACGCAAAGAAACATATCAAAGGATATCACAAGTACCGTACATGTATATATATTTAATCTCTAAAAAACGTTCTTGGAACTCAGGTTACAAAGTTTGAATAATATTTTTCAATAAAATCTCTAAGATTTTTAATATTAATAAAACAATTTATTTTTTATCAGGACATTTGCTTCACGACATAGCTTTTTTCAATTTAAAATAAAAGGTGCTCTCAAATTACGGAGATAATAAGTATGCAATTTTATTGTCAGTGATAACTTATGTACCCTTTACTTACATAAGACAAATTTGTCATAGAAATACATGTATCAAGTAAACGGACACGATTTTTATGTAGGCATTTTTAAGCAAGCTTAAGAATAAACTGATGTAACAATTGATGAATAAAAGCCATTACTGAAAGCTTCTAGCAACTTTCTCTGTTAATATGAAGTAGCAAAAAATATGTAACCATGGATATTAAAATAGATTAAAGAGAATCTAAGTTGAATTTGATATAAAAGCAATCGCATGAAATCTGAGAACTTTAACAAAAATACATACGAGTCCCTCAAACCTCAATCTTCCAGGCTTCCAGAAAATAATTGCGTATTACAATTTTGTTCGACTTATCGTATCTAAATTTATAAACCCTTTTACACACTATCCCCCTTTTGGTCATTTGTAAATTATTTAAGTAACTTGGTCAACAGACGAACCCTATTTTTGTCTTCATGAATCGCCTTTTTCGGAACCTTAATGTGGTCATTGAATTTTTTGCACGCCCTGGAGAAGATTTATATGAGAGGCTCCCCAGCTTTGTTTGTCGAGGTTGACAGTATCGTCAGCTTCCAGTTGATAGTGCAAAAAGTCACTTTCCTACTGTCATGTTAACATTATAAAACATTCATTGTTCTGTGACAAAGAACTGGACTCTGGAAGCCTCTTAGAAGTAAGTTGGTTTTTGAAACACTATATTTTCTTCTGAATTCTGATTTTAAAAGAAATACTTATTAGAAAATCGTCATGGTCATTTAAATCCTAAGTCAGTGATTAATATCTAAACTTAAATAGGATTTTTAAATAATATGAATGTAAAATTGAATTATGAAAAATTCTGTGTAAAGTAATAATATTGTAGTACGGATATACCCGTATTTGTCATACATTTAGAATCTTTTAATTATTAACGTTTCAATATGAGAGAAGAAAACTGTGGAAGCTCTCAAGAGCATCCTAATTATTTCTAAATTAAAGGCGTTTAATGATAGTAAATCAATCTACCTGTCAGGTTCCGTCTTTTCGCAAAGAGACATTCTTCTATAAGATAAATAATTAAATCTAATTACAAAGATATTGGACAAAATTCTCTTTTATGGCATTGACATGAAACCTTCTGCAACACATACCATATGGTGAATAAAAGCGTATTATTTTGTAAATGGTAACTTTATTTCGAATTCAGTTTTAATTCCAATTTCCATTTCCAAAATAAAAATGTCCTTAGTTTATTTTTTGGTAATTAACGTAAAGCAAGTAATTTTGGTTTCATACATGTATCTTGAAGAAAGATGCTACGATTTACTTAAAGTACTCCATCTGAAATTAATAAAAGATTAACCTATTCTTCTCAGTTCTTACATGTAACATATCACATGTTTTATGGTCGATAAAATGGCCTTGTCCGCTAATACAATCTATCATTAATTCAAATGCTGACTGATGTATTTCATACTAGTTATTAGACCATTTTTACACACTGAATTTTTTAAATTTTTTGCCGATCATTACAAGAAGTGCACGGCGGGTGTGACCGCTCGGCAGGGGATGCTCACTCCTCCATGACACCTGATCCCACCTCTAATGTTTTGGAGGTCCGTGTCTGTTCTACTCCCGATCAGTTTTGTTTGATTGGATTTTGAGTGTGAACACTGTTCATTATCACCATATTTTATCCAAGTGTAAAATAGAAAACAAACAAAGCCATTTTCAAGAAATGTCTAATACCTTCATGCAGTTATGCAGCTCTTTGCTTTATTTTTTTCTGTTTAAACGTACATGTGGAACTTAATTTAATAAAAAATGGTAAAAGAAAAGATTTATAACATATATTTTACGACATGAAGTTTCTGTAGAGCACAATTTTGTTGAATAAGCATTTAGATATTGCAGTATTCTACAACTACATATTCATTTATGGGGTCTGTCGGTTGAATCTGTCTGCTTTCTTTTCCATCGTCATGCGCTGTGATTTAACTTGTGAACATTTTTCAGTTTCTTCTCAGGAACAAGTGAACCAAAGCACCTGTACTTGTGGGTGTTAAAGGAAAACGAACTTTCAAAAGTCAATTAAGGGTCCTGAATACATTGGTTCCATGGTGGAAATGTTAAGAGACAAGCTACATAAATAATAAAGATTCATCTGAGCATTCAATAGGGTGGAGTAAGCTTTTTAAAAAACATTTCATAATCATATTGATATATTAATGATAATTCATAACCCTAAAATAAACTCCCAAATCACAGGTTTCTCCCGTCTATAAAACAAGGATTGGCCAAGAGTCCGAAAATGACTTCTGCCTTCAATAATTAACTATACAAATGGACTGGAAATTAATACGTCATTTTACTCATTTTAGTTAAGTTTAATACAAAGACTTTTTTTGCACATGTCGCATTCTGGTGATAATATTGCCAAGTCCCTAATTTATGGTCAGGCTAAAATGATGATAGCCTAAAACTATTAAAATTATTATTACACTCAGGTGACCGTTAATGCCCATGGAACTTTCGTTTACCGTCATGTATTTGAAAGGTAGGGGGTATTTCGATCAGTGTTTTTTTTTTTTACACATGATTTTGCCATGTGGATCTCAATAAAAGTTCTGTACCTGAGCCATATACAAATAACACTTTTTTTATCGATTGAGTTATCACAAAGCTATTTAGGAAGATGACCTTTCTTCATCACGGAAAAGATATTTAGCTCTCAATTTTAGCTGTGTATTTACCTTGATATATTTTAAAATATTTAATAACTCAATATATAATAGAATACTACAAGCTTCAAAAGCTACCGAAATTCCTCAAAATTCAAAGGGTATTTTACCTTGGCATTTTAATACTACTATGTGCGTCGTTAATGCGAATATTGCTCTATTTGCATAACGTATAACCTAATAATATCAGAAATATCCTAGAAAATCTCGACGTCAATCTTAAATGTTATTTAAAAGTCGAACAGTACATGATATGGTTTTTATTGTTCTAATTCTTAAAGGGCCTTTTACTAGTTTTCACCGAGTTACTACTGAATCCCTTTTCAAGAATCTATTTACAGCTTTTAAATGAAGCATAGCATAAATAAAATTGCATATTTTTTTAGAAGACTTTTTACGACATTGTGTATTGAAAACGTTTTCTTTGTATTCCTTGTTATTAATTAGACCCTACAAAGTTACCGAACCATATTGTATGCTATGCATTTGTTATTAGCCATTGTTATAAATCAAATTTCATTATAAAACTGACTTTTGCAAGGATGGTAGTCACATTTTAGTAAAGAGCAGATTATTGGATTCCAGTACTGGGAACAAAGGAAGCAAATTAATGATATATGTAACATAAAAATTAATGATTATTACTTTAATACATAGAATTTTTGTAGAAATTAAAAAGGCAAACTTTTATCTTAACGTACTAGCATAAGGATGTTTTATTTCCTCAGTTGCACTAAATGAACTTGTAATCTTTAGAGTAAATGACTGTTAAAAGGTATTGAACAGTCTCTTAAAACCTAAGATAAACACAATGAATAATAATTTTGGGGGGTATGTCTGAAAAAAAAAAACCCAATAATTTTCATAAAAGCCTTAAAGCAGTTAAAAAAGGTTACACTTTAGGATATCCGTGTCTTGCCCGCAATTCCTTCTATACCATTGAATAAAAGAGACTTTACCAGAATCTTCATTACATAGAACCATAATGCCTCTCCTGTTTTATACTTTGATCACATCTATGGGCTTTCCAATGGCAATATTTCAAATGGACTTCTATGATACAAATATGTTATATTCATTTGAACAGGGAATAGTAGATGTATCATTTTATGAGTACCTCTACTGTCACTAACTAAGCAAAAGTGAAAAACGGCATTACAAACAACGTACTCAATACTGAGTATTAATGTGTTTATGCACATGTAGTATGTGTACTGCAATATAAAATGAGGCTTTAAAAGCTTTGCCTTAAAGTGGTTGTCCAACATTTGACAATAAATTGAAGTAAATGTTGATACAATTTTTGCATGATTTTGGCCTAAATTTTGAAAATTTGGGATCTGTTATAATGAACAATGCCAAAAAAGAGACATTCTATGATACCAAATCTAAACCGTAATCTTGATATCAATGGTAAACTTAATGAAATCTAATCGTTGACAGCTTAACTAATAAATTAAAGGAATGAGATTAATGATGCTGATATAAGCATTAATCAGCAATAATATCCCGGATAGTAGGGCAGAAATTTGGCCTAAATTTGTATTGACGGGATTTTTGGAATTAGGAATGTGAATTTTTTTGTGTCTTATCTCTCCGTTTGTACTATTCAATTTGAAAACAAAGGATTTAAACTTTCTGATGAATTCCATGTCATAAATAATTAATTCCGTCGTACGGTACCTCTAGCTTTAAGCCAAATTGTCTTTTTGAGTTTCCCAACGTGCAACGTATATGAGGATAACAAAAACAAAGTGAAATGCATATTTTATAACTAAGTCCATCCTTTGAGCAATGAAGAGGCAGTTATGCATATTGATAAGAGGAAAAGAACATTATTAAAAAGAAATATTTATTTTCATTCAAAAAATACTTCGCATGGTATTTCTATAAAAATTACATTGGCAGCTTATGGTATTTATTATTTCGATAAATCTGATCTGGAAGCTGACAAATTTTTTTTTTAAATTTGGATGCGTGGTACTGTAAAAGGTTTCAGTATAAAGCAAATCAACAGGTAAATTTAGGTTTCATTTAAAATATTACTCTGAAAAATCATTTGATACCGTCACAACGTTTCTGCTTCTTCAAGGATTTTTAATTTTTATTTTTTCAGTCATGGAAAAAATGCTGTTTGCTCTGTTTATGTGGCTCTGTACAGGCTTGGTGCTTTCTCTGGAAGATTTTCCGAAATGGGGTACACAGAATGACAACAGAATCGGGGAAATTTTATCGAGAGTATCCAACGAACTGTTAAAGAAGGAACTTGCCAAAAAGGTCAGAATTTTGGGAGAACCTCGACCAAACACAGATGACTTGATCTTGCTTCTTGGTAATATGGTGGAACAAAAGCCTATGACTTTTTGTCGAATTTTATGGAATACTGGCGATGATGAAAGCTTGGATGAATGTGTTGCGTTCCTCATGCAGATTAGAAACCAAATGCTGGTGAATAAAGAACAAAAAAGACAAGGTAGCTATAGATTTAACTCTAGTGGTTGGAAACGGAAAAAGCGCGAGGCTACTTCAAACAAGTTGTCCAAAGAGGAAATTATGAATATCATTCAACAAATTCTGAAGGTTAAAAAAAGGCGAAAATTCCAGGCTAGTGGCTGGTGATCCGATGAAAAAAAAAACTGGAGCAATGGTTTTGATGGTTCTTTTTGATAACGAGGTTTATATTTTCATTTGTAAGTTCGATTTAGAAATGAATAATAGACTTGGATATCCTGTCGATGTGAACTGAAATTATGAAAGGCAAACTTTTGGATAACATGGACATTTTACCAACCAAAATTCAGGCTTTCATATTTTTAAAATAAAAACTGTTTTCATAAACTTTTCAGACGATTTTTTGAATAATTTCAATTTGATCCATCAACTATTTTTAAGACAAGAATCAATTGCTTTCTGTTTGTTCTGTAAATTAATGCACCAAATTTTTGGAGAAGAGTTCTGCTTGTTTTGCTGCTTATCTTGATCATGCATTGAAAGAAATCTTATTTAAGAGGATGAAAATTAAAATGCAATTATATTTTCTTAATATTGCCTTTTTGTACATGTTTGAAGAATGTAATTAAAAAAGGGAAAAAGAAAATCTTAAATTTCTTTAGAAAACAATCTTTGACGCCCCCTTTTTGAAGAAATATCTACACCTAAGCCAGTGTAATTAAGTTATGGCAACTTTTACAATTCGGACATGTAAAACTCATTAAATATGTATTAACAAAATCCCAGCTTCTAGTACTGTATATTAAAAATTGAAAACAAATCATTCATCTTAGTTTGTTTTGTTCAAGTGCACATTTGACCTTTAGATAAAAAAGGATGCAGTAAGAATGCTCAAATTAATTACTTTTTGCATTAGGACAATATCTCATGAATTGATTTTATTGTTGTCTGACGTCTGTTACAACGCACTTTGAAAAATTACGCACTTTGAAAATTTTTTTCAAAGTGCGTTAAATTTGGGACCAAATCAACGCACTTAAAAAAAATAAAATTTCTTTTCAAAGTGCGATATCTGATCATATCAACGCACTTTGAAAAAATGTGTATGGCTTGGTCAATATTCTTGAAAATCTTAAGTATGATAAATAATTGAACCAGTCGGATAACTTTTCGGTGATTAGGTCACTTCAGGATGTGAAAGTGAGCGGTTTTGATTTTTCCATACTTTGAAAAATCTTTCTCTCTTAAATGTTTCACTGTACTAAATATTTTCCTGTTTGTATGCATTTAATGTAATATTTATTGAAAGTTTTCAACGTCACACCAGTTATGCTAATACAATCATATATTTGGCCGGTGTAGCATAGGCATCGGTACCGTGGTTGGGGGGGGGGGGGGGGGGGGATTAGTCACACAAATGTTTTGCGAAGGTATATATAATATAGGCATAAAAAATTGGGTCTTACCGGGGGGTGGGGGTGGGGAGTCCACTTTCAATTTTCTACCGGTACAGGAATAAAAAAGAGTTAGGCTGAAAGACTTTCCATATACATGTACGTATGTTCTCCTTGTTCTCAATGAGGGTAAATCAATACATGTAGATTAAAACGTTTTTCGAAAAATATAATTATTACTAATTGATTTTCTTAAATACTAAAATCTAAGTCTAGAATTTTTGTTTTATACATATTTTTTTCAAAGTGCGTTGAATGTCCACTTGGTATATATGTTGATGTACACTCTTAACGCACTTTGAAAAATTTTTCAAAGTGCGTTGAGTGTGTCCCAAATTTAACGCACTTTGAAATTTTTTTCAAAGTGCGTAATTTTTTCAAAGTGCGTTACCACAGACGTCACAATGTCAGATGCTTCTAAATTGATGGATCATTCAAAGCAATATATATAGTGTATCTGAGCTATAAATTAATAATATGAGATTGAGTGTAAATTTACATGATATATGTTTATATTTCATTCAAATTGAAATTTTCATCGATTTTGAACTTGAATAACATCGCGTTTCTAGAGTTAAATTAACATTAAACTGTGTCCGTTATTTAAATGCGGAGTAGGTAAATAAATCAGTTATTGTTTTACTTTTCTTGCATATATGAAAACGTGATTGATTAAAATTGTGTACCGGTAATTTAATGGAAAGTTCTATCTTTAAACAGAGTAATAAAACAAATAGAAAGACCTTTTTAAAATTCCATTTAATTAAGGCATCACTGTCTAGTTAGTATAGTATGCCAGGGCATCAAAGATAGTGGGAAACATGGAATACCGGTAATTTGCATAACGAGCGAAGCCCCTTATGCATAAATTATCCCGTGTTTCCCAGTATCGCTGATGTCCCTGGCATACAATACTAACTAGCTAGACATCGATTCCTTATATTTCCATTTCACTGTAAAATAAAATTGTAGATTTAGATTTTAAAGGGGCCTGGACACAGTTTCAACTGATTTTTTAAAACCAATTTTAATGCTTACAATTCCTACCTAAGGCATCATCTATTGATTAGCAAAAATTTGAACATCATTTGTTGATTAACAAACAAAATACAGAACTTAAAGTTCTTCATAATGTAAACAAGGCTCGTGCCTTGTTTTTGTTTACATATAGAAAATATCATATTTATAACAAAATGAAGTTCAGCAAATCAATAGTAACTGTCGAATTAACTTTTATTTGAAATTATCTACTTTGAATGAACATATATTAGTATATTAACCCGTGTAAACAAAAACATGACACTAGCCTTGTTTACATAACAAAGGTTTGGAGCTCTAAATCTGTCTTGTATCTGGACAACTGGCGTTCAAATTTTTGATGATCATTAGAAAGACCCTAGTTAAATATTTGTAAAATGGAAAAATAAATTTTGAAATTTTAGCTGAAACTGTGTCCATGCCCCTTTAAAAATGTAGACATAGATTTAAATTACACGAGGACTCCCATGCCAATTTCAACAGTCCTCGTCCACTGACGTCAAACACAAAGGCAGCCGCATGCTTTACATGTGCATGCATATTTGGCCTTCTTAGCGTCAGACACAGAGACATATGCGCACGAGATTTGCATGAATAATAGGCCTCCTTAGTTCCTGACCTATCGACCTGCCTAATTTACATTCCGGAAGAATTATAAAGAAATCAACTCCGCTAACTTTCAAAGAGTTATCACAGAGAAAAAGAAGAGAAATGGAAATATATCAGTATCTTTTGCGTACCAGCACGTCCTCCTGCGACACGGTCTCATCCAAAGAACCGGTCTCCACGTATAACTTGGAAATTCCTTTGAAGTAACTTATAATAATTTGCACAAAGTTTATGATAACAAAAGACTTTCCAGACGTTCAATCATAAATTAGATTAATTGTTTTAGTCAAGGGAGGGAGATGGTTAAAATGACGTTTGTTTGAAGACCAGCGAAAGCAAGCTGGGGAAGAAATATGTCCTTTGTTAGGCATTATTTTTAATGAAAGATTGTTAAGTTACAGCTAGAAAAATGGTTGAATATCTGAACAATAATATTATTATTAAATCCCTAAAATATCGTTTAATTTAGACTTTTAACAAAATAAATATAAAAAGAAGGCCCAAACATGTATATCGATATCGATATTGGATAAACGACGTTCCTAGGTCAGATGACCCGGGTTGTGATGGTCACCATGTTCTTTCTGGAAAAGGATATCCTTATCCAACTATCCTATTTCCGAGATTTAGTCATTTCTGACAAATGGACTGTACTTGTAATAAAAAAAAAACTTGTATGGTAAGAAATACCGGTATAAGACTCAGAAAAATATTTTAGCGTCTATGAACAGAATGCCTCAGAGCATGTCACGTGACCGCCTGGATCACATGATTCGCACATGGGCAGAAAGGTGGCTACTTTAAAAAATAATAAACACTGAAACCCAATTTTATTTTTTCTATGGAAGTTATTCAATTTGCTCGCGAACTTTTTGATCACCCCGCGTATATGAACAAAATAACACTTATTGAGCATGATAGAGATAAAAGCATCATCCGGTATATGTGATATTAAAAGTAAAATCTTAATCCAGTACTAGTAATTAACTCGTATTTTATTATGATCTTATATTCTATCATAAATTCATTCTCATTTTGTAAGTATATTATGTCAGTTTATTTCTGTTGTTCCCTTTTTTTTTTTAAATTTCGGTTATTAAAGGCATATTCTTTCAAATTACCTAGGTAGAGATAGAACATTAAAATAAGTTTTACGACAAACTTTTAAACAAGAGGCCCATGGGCGACATCGCTCACCTGAGCACTGTGGCTGGGAAAAAGTAGAAATTGGATTATTATTGAATAGTTTATAGCCAAAAGTAGTCCCATGACCAATCATGGCTTTGCTATTCTTGATAAGATGATTTTTAATGAATTTTCCTATATATGTCTATGTAAAACTTTGGTTGGCCATTGTGGCCTCGCCCTACCCCCGGGGGTCATGATTTGAACAAACTTAAATCTACACTACCTAAGAATGCTTCCATATAAATATGATCAATTATAGCTTTGTTATTCTTGAGAAGAAGATTTTTAAAGAATTTTCCTATATATTTCTATGTAAAACTTTGGGCAGCCACTTTGGCCCCGCCCTACCCCCGGGGGTCACGATTTGAACAAAATTGAATCTACACTACCTGAAGATGCTTCCATATAAATTAAATATGATCAATTATGGCTTTGTTTTTCTTGAGAAGAAGATGTTTAAAGAATTTTCCTATATATTTCTATGTGAAACTTTGGGCGGCCATTTTGGCCCCTCCCTACCCCCGGGGGTTATGATTTGAACATTCTTGAATCTACACTACCTGAGGATGCTTCCATATAAATATGATCAATTATGGCTTTGTTATTCTTGAGAAGAAGATTTTTAAAGAATTTTCCTATATATTTCTATATAAAACTTTGGGCGGCCATTTTGGCCCCTCCCTACCCCCGGGGGTCATGATTTGAACAAACTTGAATCTACACTACCTGAGGATGCTTCCATATAAATATGATCAATTATGGCTTTGTTATTCTTGAGAAGAAGATGTTTAAAGAATTTTCCTATATATTTCTATGTAAAACTTTGGGCAGCCATTGTGGCCCCGCCCTACCCCCGGGGGTCATGATTTGAACAAAATTGAATTTACACTACCTGATGATGTTTCCCCATAAGTTTCATTTTTCCTGGCACAGTGGTTCCTGAGAAGAAGATTTTTAAAAGATACCACCAAATTTTCAATAATTCCCAATTATCTCCCCTTGAATGAGGGCGTGGCCCTTCATTTGAACAAACTTGAATCCCCTTCACCCAAGGATGCTTTGTGGCAAGTTTGGTTGAAACTGGCCTAGCGGTTCTTGAGAAGATGTCGAAAATGTGTAAAGTTTACATCCACGACGACAACGACGACGACAACGACGACGACGACGACGACGACAGACAACGGACAAATTGTGATCAGAAAAGCTCACTTGAGCCTTTGGCTAAGGTGAGCTAAAACTGAGACAGAAATGGCGAAACACATCAATGGAGTCAATGGGTTTATTTTCGAAAAAAAAAATGGAAACAAAATCACATAGCGAAACACTGCATAACAATTGTCCCATACATTTCCTCTCCTCTCTTACATCACAACGGAAGAATATTCTGTAAAAACAGAAAATGACAAAAAAAAATGTTCTTATGCACATACTTTTTTTTAAATTTATCCTTTTAAACAATATTTTATTATTATTTTTTAAAATTAAATAAATATTTAATATTTTAGGTAATGAAATAATAAAATACAACAAAATTAATGCAAATAGGAAAGTAGAACATGACGATCTAACAAATAACACATATAAAACAAAATAGGGTATGTATACTATATATTCCAAATATACATTCACATAGGTACATTACACAAAATTTTGATTAAAAAAATTTCTCTATAATACCTATAGACATTTATACATATACATGTATTCATAAAGAGTAAATTAATTAAATGCTCACCTTCCCAATTAAGTTTCCCATCACCATTCTTATCCCCCGTCATATAGAACATATCTACTGTGTCCCGTGCGTCCCGGGGGGAGAGGCCGACATTAATAGCGATCTGAATCAACTCGCTCCTGGACACAAATCCATCTCTGTTAGAGTCTTCCAACTGAAACCATTCCTTAGCCTTCGAGAGGCCATATGAAGGCGACACAACCTCTGATATGTAGTCCGGAATAAAATCAATTATCCCGTTACCTATTTTTAAGAAAAAAGGAATTTCAATTTATTTAATTAAATATGTTTTGTAGATTACGATTTTAATATGCTACATGTAGTCTATGTACATAAAAAATTGAATTCCAGGTATAAAAAGGATATTTTTAAAGATTGCTTCTCTGCTTTGAAGAAATTAGTTAGAAGATGAAAAACTATATGCGAATTTTCCGCCAACAACCAAGTTATCTTTTTTTCTTCAGAAAATCAAAGCCAATCCAAATAATATACAACTGCATCATAGAATGTACAGTATATGTCCTTATTTTCGTTTTTGTTTTTTCAAACATCAATATTTGAAATTTCTACAAATCATTTTTATTAATTAAATATGGTAACAAGGAACAGTATTCAAGCTCAAATTTCCATCACCATTCAAACAATACAAATAAGGATCAGAGCAAACACAGATCTATTAAATATTTGAGGTGGGATCAGGTACCATATAATGAATGAGCTTCAACTGCGACCGGTCACACCCGCCGTGTGCTCCTTATCGTGATCGGGGAGAATACGGAAAAACTGTGTACAATTCAATAATGGCATAACAATAAGAAAGAAAAGCATTTGACTTAATGGTACGAGGGCTGTTCAATAAATAATGTCCTGGGTGCTCGGAAAGAAGCAGAAGATGCTTTTCAATGATTTAGTCTTCATGATTTAACTTATTAATCTCTTTTAATCAAAACACATGTCCGTAACATTTTTTATCCAATTTCTGATTGTTTTTAGAACTCAATTTTGGGTATGACCCTTAATATACTAGAAAATGGCAGATCCATTGATTTCCTGGACTCGTTTCCTCCTTCTGAAAGGTGTTTTTTTTTTCAAGTTTGGAAGTAGAAACAAGCCAGAAGGTCAAAGATCTGGCGAATATTGTTAATGTGAAAAAACATTAACTTTCTGTTTATCCCGAAAACCCCTTTATTCTTCAGGGTGTGCGGGTTTGGACGCTGTCATGAAGAAATTTAATGTAGTGGATTCCTGATCCTGGGCCCTTCCTCTAATAAACCTTTCGATTTTTTTTGCAAAAAATTTGCTTCTCCAGAAATTAAACCGTCTTCCCGAATACGAATTTGTACAACAATACCACTAATATTTAAGAAAATTGCATATAAATCTGTCTTTGTGCTCTTGCAATTCTTTGCTCTTGTCAGACCTTCGCTGTTTTTTATCAAGTACATCTTATGGTAAATCTTGTTTTGAGGGTTTTAAGCAATAGATTCAAGTTCCATTATCTGTTTGAATATCAAACAAACGTGGATAACTACAATTACTGATATTTTAAAATAATTGTTAAGACATTCGTACACGTTGTCGTTTTCACTCATATTTCAAAATATAGGGTGACCTTTTAGTACTAAGCTTTTTTACTGTCAAACGTTTCTTAAGGTAGTCCGATCCTCAGGTTTATAAATTTAGCAGTTAAGTAATCAAAAATACTCATAAAAGTATCTCTGAATTCACAAAGTTATGTAAATTTATCCACAGTATTTCTTTAAAGTTAAAGATTAAAGTTAATCATATTATATAGGGAAAATTGTCAAATTTCCAATATTTTTGCAGAAAATGCGAATTAAAACTTCAGTAATGCATTTTCTAATTGCAAATTGATCAACAAATATATTTTTAGTTAAAAAACAATAGGTATCCAGACATTCAGAGAAATTGTCATGAATTTTATACATATTTGGTATTTTTTGTCTTCTTTTTCCGTCATATATTCTATAATACATAGTGTAAAAGACTCTTATTATCATTGCAAGACACCACACAATACTTCTCATTTCATATCATGCTAATAAGTATTGGTATCTACGGCTGGATTCAAGAAAATCTTATTTCTCTAAAACTGTATTAATTTTTTCTCCTTTGGTAGGGTACAAATGTCAACTTTTATAAGATCTTTTCTAAGACTTCCAAAGACCTTGAATCTTTTAGAGATGAATACAATGAAAATTGTTGCATAAAAAAATTTCACTTTCAAGCCTCATTTTGATGCATTTCAAATTAATTATAATTTTTTGGAGTTATCCTTCCTGGCTGAGGATCGGATATCCTTAAAAACAGTGTAAACTACTACCGAAATGATGTCTATCAAATTTGCTATGTGTCTTAAAGTCAATCATACATCATCAAATATTATTTGTTGAAATTTGGCAAACAGTACATAAGTTGTTATAATTTTTTGTTGGCAAGGACGGTACCCATTCTTGATGCCCATTAAATAATTTTTCATCATTGAAATCCACCTGCTCACTTGTCTATAAAACAGGCATTGGTTGCTGTAAATGTCACATATTTCAGTGAATATTTCTTTGGGATTTTTAACAAGTTTTACAGCAGCTTTAATGAAGCTTTTATTTTCACTCTAGTTTACTTATTCTTTACCATTCATTTATAATGCAGTGTCTCGAATAGCCCTTGTTTTCCAGCTTCTCACAATAAAACTATGTGATGAAAAGTGGTCACATAAACTGTTATAAATTCATTAAAGATTAAATAATGAGAGAAAGTCAAGCTTAATGTCATATGATATCTGTATTGTATGTCATACAGTTCAGGACATTATTTATTGAACAGCCCTCGTAGATTGTATTTACTTACAAGGTAATTTGTATCGACCATAAAATTTGCCAAATGATGAATTTAATCGAGACAGTTGTTTTTTCTTGTTTCATCGACTTGTTTGTCAATATCTTGTCTCGTTTTAGAAATTCGTAAGTAGAGCATACGTATGAATCAACCAAGAGACGTAAACCGCATGAACAGGAAATATGGGTATATTACTGCATAAGGGAAGGGAAGTGAAAATTCAAATTGACACGATTGAAAAGTTGGGTCATCAAGTTTATCATAAAACTTCATTTTAGGTTACAATTAATTTCTTTCCTATTAATAAATATTCAAATGTGAAAATATGAAACAGATGTGTCAGATCCCTTGGTATCTGTTATTTCAAGCTCACTGAGACATATCGAGTAAACTCATGTATGGAAGTAACTATTGTTAATTGTTAATATGTCGTCGATATTTCTAAATTTCAAAATGAAGGCCACTGTAATCGTTTTTTCCCTTGTGTGTGATTTTAAATAAAATGGAGCGGTTTTTAACCCACAGCTGAAGTGTGACCAGTCTCTCGGCCAACGTTTTCGCAGTAGGATTTGGAATTAATTTTGGAAATAGGGAATTACCTTTGAAATTGGGGTCCTTTGCTTGAATTTTAACTTAATTTCCTGGATAAAATTTTCAACTTTCAATAAACACAATTTTTTTCCGATTGCATGGCATTTACAACACCTGTGCATCGTTTCCAGATTAAAAGTTTTACTATTAAAAATAAATGAACACTATTCCTACTCATCTTCTAAAAAAGAATATTTATGCTTGACTCTTACATCCTAAAATAATGTCTTAAGGTTCAATAACACTCTTACATGAGAGATAACTCTTAATGTGATAAATATTTTTCTGATTCATTCAAAAATTTGTCATGAAATTAATTTTTCACTAACTTTGCCAAAGAAGCAATGCTAAAATAGTTTGCGGGTTACCTAAAAAATAACTTTCATTTTAGAAATCACGTGCATTAAAACATTATTTATATGGATGAACAGAGGGAGCATGATCATTAAAATACACCAGGATACAAACAAACCAAAACGTTCGACACCTCAATTTTAAAACTTGAAGAGTTCTTTATAAAAGCCCTTGAAATTTTGGTTGTTCAATTTATTTCTTAGTAAATTAATTATATTACTTAATTTTAAACTTGAAGAAGTAGTTCAAATGTGATATTGTTTACCATTAATATCTCTGCGATTTATGAACTTTCCTATTTCGGAGTCCTTGATAACGGGGTTGTATTTAGACAGATAGTCTTTCACTTCCTCAAAGCTGGCCTTTCCATCCTGGTTTTTGTCTACTGAGTTGTAAAATTGACTCTGAAATACTGAAACCAGAAAACAATCATGTACAGTGCATTCATTTCTTCTCTACCGTAGAAAGTACTAGTATAATAATACAATCAACAACAATCTGGGGAAATGGCGAAGCCTGTTATGCATAAATTATTTGGGATAAATTAAATGGGATAATGCATAAATTATCCCATGTTTCCAACGTATGCCACTAACAGACCCAACAAACTATAGACAATGATTTTATTTACACTTACATGTAAAAGTAAAATGTAAATATATCAAATATGCTGTTTGATAAAAGAAATACATGAGGCATTCAAATTCCTTTAAAACACATTTTCATTGAAGGCAAAATAATAGATTACTACTTGTGTTTTTTAAATACATTCAAATTTTAAAAATCGATAAAAACAAAACAAAAAAAAGCCAATAACTGACATTCAGAATATTTTAAAAATATATTTTCGGTGATGTATTTTTAGGGTGACACGTGATTTTAATTTAGAACACATTTACATTGTAAATGTTTTATGAAGGTTCGTTTTGGTACTTACTGCCATTATGTGATATTTCGAATAAGTAATATCACTACATGTAAATGGAAATACATATCAAAACGGCGCCTTATAATGTTTACTGAAGATTAACTAAGGAAACAAAGGCGTCGAACAAAAGACGTTTTGAAAGGATTTTTCTCCATAGGATTATCCTTCCACCGTATTGGAGGCTCTTTCATCTGGAATCAACGCGTCATTATTGTCGTCCGCATCGGCGCAGTGGTTAGAGCGTCTGCTATAGAGTCGTGAAGTAAGGAGTTGATCCTTACGTCGCGGGTTCGAATCCCACTGTGGGACGTCGAGACCGATCCTTCTGGATGAGACCGAGTTCTCGTGTCGCAGTAGGTGCCGACACGAAAAAGATCCGTCACTGCTTAATGGACGTAAGTGCCGAGTATAGTATATAAATGACAGAAAAATTCTCGACAGGGCCGTTGAACAACAACAATAACAACAAAACCATTTCATTATTCGTGGTATCTTCAGTATGTTCAATATCTGAATACCATTTATGTAAGATTCATCCTGATCAATAAAGTAGTTTTTCGTCTGACAATTCATATCACTATCCACCTCATGGTACTTTATTTGAGATACATTTTCATTATCGGTAGTAATGACCAGGAAAAGACCCTTTGAACTGTTAAAGAAAGAAAATTACGGGACACATATTAACCTTAAGGTGGTTATAATTGAAATGGTAAATTCTACTGTATTTCCAATCATCAGTTGTAAAAATAATGTATCGATTAATGCTTGGTTAAAAAGCATTAAAAATTACTGTCAAAATAAAGGACACGGTAGGGTCTGGGTGATGGCCAAATCTGGCCCCTTATTTGATGTAAAAATCATAACAATGGTAAAATTGTGATAGTTTGTCGTTAGGAACATACAATGATGATTTTTTTTTAAACCAGCAGTAATTCGGATTCAAAGGAAGCATGGAAGCCGACAGAGGGCGAAGAAGTAGGACATTTTACCGAATTTCCTCAATTCTGGTAGAATTTCGTCATATCTGAGATTCTTTGCTCTTCGGAAAACAGAGCACAAGCTTGCCTATCTGAGATTTTTTACACATAAACTGCCTCTGATACTAGTTGATAAAATATATAAATTTGGTAGATAGGCAAGCTTGTGCTCTATGTTTTCCAAAACAAAATGTGCTGTAAAATCAATGAAAATTTGCATAAAAATGAGAAAATTAGAAAACTGAAATATTTTCTGACCTCTCTATGACCTCTGTGTATTTCTAAACTTAGAACCAATATTCATTTTGTGGCAGAAATGACAACAGGTTTTTAGGGATAAACTATTGCATCATTCAGAAAGACACCCAAAGTCAGGGGCCAAAAAAGGTCTTACCCTATCTTGTCCTTTGTTTACTTGAGGTACTGTTACAATTTTGAATAAAAAGGGTTCCCATGAATTTTAGTGACATGCTGAGAAAGACTGACGTTTCGCCTTCTCTTTTGTAAAGTAAATTACACCAAGTTTGTGCAAATTTTATCATATTATTTCCTCATTTCCATTTTTCATTCATTATCTTTATGACATTATAATTGTATCTTCCCTCTTAAAATGTATCTTTTTTTCTCTCCAAAACAAGCGTTAATTTTTTCTTGGACTCCTAATCAATGTATAATCGAAGATGATGACATCGAACAAGTCTTAATTATTTTAACACCCAATCAAACCAAATTTACTATGACGGCACTTCGATTTCTGTTGAAGCACTATCGCCGTGATCTATCTGACATTTACACATCAATTGCCGCATCCGGGCGGCCACTATGTATATTACCTTCTAGCTGTTGGATACTGACACAGCCAGCGTCGTTTTCGTAATTTCGTTTCCTGGCAGTCTTAAGGCCGTGTGTACTGTATGGGAGAGCCAAAGAGTGCGCCAAAAAACACTTACAGCTGCAAATAGCGGCAAAAAGGCATAGAACAATGTTCATGTTGTCTCTACAAAAAAAAAAATTGTGGAATATGAATTTAATGTTTACAAACATAGATAAAATGGATAAATGGTAAATTTGGAAAGGGAATGTTTATTACCAAAAGGTTTTTATTGACAGAGGAAAATTTAGTATAACACCTCTAGATAAAATAAAAAAAACTCGGTGGTGTCATAAGAAAGCAATACCCTTTCAAAGGATCTAGGTGTTTGCTTTTATAGGTACTCGTCTTTATACTTGGGTAACAATTAAGGGAAGAAGCCAAAATAATTATACTTTACCCCAAAAAGTCTATTATTGACCCCAAATCACCTCCAGGGTGAAAATCGAAATTCCGAAACCTAAATGCTACACATCTACAGGATATTTCAAGACATTTCAATAAAAAAAAGATTTGCCGACTCTGAAAAAATGTAAGGAGTTCAGGAAACCATTTGATGTAGTCCGAAAAATCTTACGTTTTCCAGGCTTTTTTTCACTCTCTACGATTTTGATATACACAGTGTTAAACACACAATTCATTACAATTCAATTTCTAAGCTTATGTCTGAGTTTTGAGATAGATATGTACTAAATCAATCCAGAAGTATTAATTTAAATTGAAACAATTATTCAAATAACACGTTTTATACGTTATGTCAAAAATCTTGACGTGAGCCCATTGCAGAGGTTGTTTTTGATAATGTAAAATAAATTTTAAAAATTTTGAATCTTCTTTAAATACACTTAAAAGTTGTTAAAATAAAGATCCTGACACTTTCAGGCAAGAAAAACCACCTTTAAAATAGACGTACCACACCTATATACATAAACTCTATATATAGGTGTGGTACGTCTATTTTAAACGTGGTTTTTCTTGCCTGAAAGTGTCAGGATCTTTATTTTAACAACTTTTAAGTGTATTTAAAGAAGATTCAAAATTTTTAAAATTTATTTTACATTTAACAATCCGGAAGACAAGCCCCTATGCCAACAATGATATCTAAAAAGCTGTTTCTAAAAATAGTCGAGTAGTTATGACGAATAAGTGTTACAGACGGACGGACTGGGATAGCAAAAATCTACTCAAACTTTCTGCAGAAAGTGTGGGAATTAGTCTTGAATTCATATATGAAGCAATGAATTGTTCTTAAACTCGCAAAAGCATATTGCCAATTCAATTGATTTCTTGACAAAACTATTGAATCACAAACATCCGACATGCAGAAGGAGCGCTATAATTATTCATGGACCCCCCACCAAAAAAAAAAATCCTGACAGATATATTGTAACAAGACAAACAAAACAACACTTAAATTTTAAAAGCTACTACATAACTTGAATGGATTTTTAAAAAAAATTCTAAACGTTTTAAGAGAACGCATTATATGAATATCTAGCATCGTGAAAACAATAATACATCAAATTCAAAACTTTAAATATCAAAATTCAAAATATATCAAACATAAAAAAAAACAAGAAAAAAGAGTTATAACTATAATTTATATATTTAAATTGATAAATGGTTTGCGTTTTTCTTAGATCCATGGCCCCTTCCTGTACCTACCTCGTTGGTATACACTGCACTGACAACCAATGCTACAAATCCGGCGGCTGCCAATTTACAAGTAAATTAGTAACTTCCCTCGAACTCTATTTGTACAATCCGGGATGAGAACCTCTTATCCAATCGGTATCCCCGATTAACGTCCGCAGTCCCTTAATATAACACCTAATATAAAACTTAATTCTTCTTAAGGCTGATAGCAAATTAATTAATATTTGGACTATCTTAGAACTCTAATCAAATACTGTTATTATGGAAATGCCCGTTTGTTGTCCTAACGTGCTAAGAAACTCAATAGAAAACGCCGAATGAATTTTGATCACGAAAATATGATGATGCTATTTCAAACGCCCACACATACAGCTTAATCACACTGTTGTGTCCACCTGAATAGCCGCTGAGGCTTAGTGGTAGCGCAATATATTTCAATTTTACAAGACTTTCTCAAGAATTAATGTCCAACAAGAAGGCATTCATTCATTATTGATATATTTCTTCGATTTCATTTAAGCACGAAAAAAGACATTTACTCTCTAACATTCTCTTTTGGGTTAGGTTAACATGTCCCTAAAACGATTTGAGAGGGGATTATATTGTTGTGTAGTGTAAGGAATACGAGAGAGAGAGAGAGAGAGAGAGAGAGAGAGAGAGAGATTGAGAGAGATTTTCTTACTTCAAATATAAAGCTACAAGAATGCTAAAATTGTTCCCATGACCAATCATTGGTGATATTTCTTAAGTTATAAAATTGTTTTTGAGAAGAAAAAAACCCCTAAAACCAAATTGTTCTTATAAAATAACTTGAAACTAATCTCTGTTGGTATCTCTAGCACAACCAAAGCAAGCACGGAAGCAGGATACAAGGCTTCTGAAGATGTTACGCTTTGGTTGAAATGGGATAAAAACAATGGATCTCCTATTACTATTCATTTAATTATATCATCTTTATTTAGAATAACTGAAATTTAATTATTCCTGTTTTCTTACCTTACGCTGTGCACGGCAGCCCCCCTCTGAAACTAGCACAGCGGCAGAAAAGGCACCTTGCATTGCCGTTAGAGAGAGCCTCGTAGCCTACATGAAATACAGTTAATTCTCGATAAACCGCCACCTTTTGTAATTTAGAAATCATGGCGGTATAACGAATTTGGCGATGAATTGAATTTCCCATCTTCTGGAAAACAAGAACTAGAGTTACCGTTCTTAGAAATACCATTTAGCGTTTCTATTCTTATTATTACATGTACATGTATATAATTAAAACATATTTCTGATTGAAAATACTTCATGTAATTTTTTAATGTACGAATACGCTAAAACAAAATGTGCAGTTATGAAATAAAGAAAAGTACATGGGTGTGCATTTAAATCTGCAGTTCTGCTATTGAAAAAAAAATTGCTGGGTCGATCTTCGTGATGTATTGCCGATAGTAAATAAAATGAATTCTTGAATAAATTTATTGTTTATGGCAACATTGTTAATTAAACATTCACAATTCATACCGTATTATTATTATTTTTTCAGCAAACTTCTCAATTTTTAAAGCAGAGATCATCTAAATTATATAGTTACCGGCGGACTTTAACAACGACCGCTTTCGTGGCAAAGCGGTGACTAAACAGAAAACAAAATTATTATAACAGTTCATGTTAGAATCTCTGTTTATTTAGTTCTTGTTTAATTACTTAATTGCATGTACCTTGTCTGCCTTTGCATGCTTTACAACAGGGATAGTGTCAACCAATTAGCCGCGCTTCACTGACCACGCGCACCTGTGGCGGTATATCGAGATAATTGACACTTAAAAATGGACGTTTGTTGTGAAAACAGGGTGGCGGATGGCGGTATGCGAATTTGGCGTTATAAAGAGAATTTTATATAGCAGGAAAAACGTTCTTTGGAAATCATGGCGGTATTGCGAGAATGGCGATGAATCGAATGGCGATAATTCGAGAATTGACTGTACATCGAATCCTGTTATTAAAGCTTGAGCTTAAAGAGTCATGGTATTACACAGAAATCACATAAAACTCACAAGAAGATCGAGAATCAATAGTTTTGGTATTTTTTTAATTAAGTATTTTTTAATCAAACATTGAAAAATTCTCGAATGGGACGTTAAACAACATACGATCAATTAATCATAAATAAAGCATTACCTCCATCTCAACACTCTCCCTGGAAACAGCAGTTCTGCGGGGTGAGGTCTGCTTAGTCTAGAAGATAAAACACCCAAATAAAATCAGTAGTCGAGTAGACTAAGGTTGCCCCTTTCGCCCTCTCTTGATTGGGCGAATTCAAAATGGGGCGAATTCAAATTACACCTCATAATTTCTTAAACAGAACTACGACTGGGCGAATTTAAATAATCGGGGCAAAATTGTTCACAAGTTCAAAAGGGCGAAAATAACCCTGTATACCAGTATTTCAACAAAATGATCATGGGTCACATCGCTCACATCTTGGAAGTGGGGGCTTTCCCCATCCTGGAAACATGATTTAAACTCTTGAAAGTACACTACATGAGGATGCTTTTGAATTGATATGACTAGTCATGACTTTGCTATTCTTGAGAAAAGTTTTATTGAACATGTTTTCATACTCCCCTGCATAACTTTGATCACCCGTTCAAGTTGTTGCCTCACCCTGTCCCTGGAGGGTCAAGATTTGAACTTATTTAATTCTACACTACCTAAGGATGTTAATCATATAAATAAGACTATATACTTTGTTTTGCTTTTCTTGAGAAGATTTTTAACGAATTTTCTATGCTTTCTTATGTAATTCTTTAATTGCACATTGTGGTCCCACCTTGCATAATTGGCCCCTGGGGCATGCTTTGAACAAACTTAATTTTACACTACCTGAGGTGCTTCCATATCAGTATTACTAGTCAAGGTTTTGCTGTTCTTGATAGTTTAAAAAGATTCTTATGTTTTCCTTTGTAAAAAATTGGATACCCCCATTGTAGCCCTACCCTGACCCCTAGGGACATGATTTGGATCTACACTCTCTGAGGATGCTTCCATATCAATGTGAGAAATAGTGGATTATTAAGTAGATTTTTAAAAGACTTTCCTATGTTAAAATTCGATCCCCTACTGTGGTCCTACCCTATCCCAAGGGGTCATGATTTGAAGGAACTTGAATCTACACTACCTAAAGGTGCTTCCATATCAATATGACTAGTAGTGGATTAGTTGTTCTTGTGAATTAAAAAAAAATTTCCTATAAATTTCTATGTAAAACTTTGATCCGCCACTGAGGTCTCACCCTACCCCCAGGGGTTTGATTTGAACAAAGAATCTACACTATGTAATGAAAGTTTCACATGTCACAATTTTTCAGGCCCAATGGATCTAGAGACACAAAACTTTCACTAATTCTAAATTATTTTTTTAAAGAGGGCCTAACTTGAATCCCATCACCTACATGTACGGATACTTTGTGGCAAGTTTGGTAAAAATTGTTGCAGTGGTTCTTGAGAATGTCGAAAATGTGAAAAGTTTACAGACGGACAGACTGAAGCCAAACAAAATGCGATCTTCTAAATACTCTAATTATACAAAGATATTCACAAAATTCAGTTTGGAGAGAACTGTTTCTTTTGGTACACACAGAAAAAAATGAACGGTTTTATTTGTGATTGATAGTACACCTTTTCCAGTTCCTCAAAGTCTTCAGAAATTGTTGGCTGCTGTTGACGACATTAAACATAAAAATCTTCAACAAATATTAAAATCACATAACTTTTTTTGCAATTGATACTTCTTTCAATAATTGTGATTCTCATGATCCTTGTAAACTTAATTTTTTATTTATAATCTCTAGCAATAGCTAATATGCTTTTTACTGGTTGTACAGAAAAAGAGATCTATAAACCTGTCTAAATCTCTGGTAACTGTTTTCCATTGGCACATATACGTTTCTGACCACGTGTATCATTATCATAGTGGAGCTGGTGGTCTAGGAGAGGAGAGAAGTCAAAGAAACAGGAATTTATTAAATGTAATATATATCTCAACATAATTATATCTTAACATAAAATTCTCACGTATAAAATAGTGTATAATCTACGGCAGGGATAAACGTGCTTAAAAATGGTATGTAATATGTATATAGAACTTGGGGACTTTACGTTCCGATATATATAGACACGTGTATCCACCAGCTTCCTTCTTGGTAAAATGTGAGTAGCTTTTGTTTCCAGTTCCACATCATCGTCTTCTTCCTGTAGTACTAAGTATGTTGCAGGGATTTGTATAGAAGAGGCACATTTGTATATATAGCTCAGGTGACCTAATAATTAAAATAGATTAAGAACGTTAATTTTTATCTGAAATCACATAAACAATACATTTGAAGGAGGGGGGGGTGTACCATATATACTTGCTTCAAAATAGGGAGGTTATATCTCCGCGTATCCTAAAAATCAAAATATTTTTTTCTAAAATTCAAAAGAAGCGTACTACAGAATTCGTACATCACAATAACAGCATTTTTATTATTGAAAATCCCTCTATTAATTATCGCAGAATTTCACTATATTCTTTAAATGTAATAAAATTAATTACATAATTCTTATGTATTTGAAGATAACAGTTAGATTTTTAAACAAGAGGCCCATGGGCCACATCGCTCACCTGAGCACTGTGGCTAGGAAAAAGTAGAAATTGGTTTATTATTGAAAAGTTTAAATCCAAAAGTAGTCCCATGACCAATCATGGCTTTGCTATTCTTGAGAAGATGATTTTTAAAGAATTTTCCTATATATTTCTATATAAAACTTTGGTTGGCCATTTTGGCCCCGCCCTACCCCAGGGGGTCATGATTTGAACAAACTTGAATTTACACTACCTAAGGATGCTTCCATATGTAGGACTCCAAAGTGCGATGGGACTCCAAAGTCCGATGGTCACGCCAAAGTCCGATGGTCTGCGCCAAACCCCGATGGTTTGACACGCCAAAGTCCGATGGTGCGGAAAACAATTAAAGTTTATGACGTATATACTGGTGCGCAAAAATTACCGCGCCATGCCAAGGCCCGATTGTTTAAGATAAAATACAAATAAATATTAAATGCAAAGGTTAACCCTCATCTATTAGATATAGGTGCGAGACTAGCCCTAATCAGTCGAAAAATGTATAGTACTCAGTAACTATAACCTAAGTATCTTGGGTGGGTGCTGGACTAATCCTAATCAGTTGAGGGCTAGGCTTACCCAAAAATCTTTCGGGTGGGTTCGATAAAAAAAAATGATCAATAGTGTTCATGGCTTTGTTAGTTCTTGCGAGGATTAACCCTAATTAATGCCTTAGTGGGTAAAACAATTAAAATCAATAAAATACACAATATATTTCTGTGACGTAAAAATGTTGACTGTTCCTTCGCACCATCGGACTTTGGCGTATCAGACCATCGCACTTTAGCGCCAAGTCTCTCAAAGGAAACGACCATCGGACTTTGGCGTCCTTAAAGTCAGCGAGCCATCGAGGTTTGGCGTCACCATCGCACTTTGGAGTCTTACATATATAAATATGATCAATTATGGCTTTGCTATTTTTGAGAAGAAGATTTTTAAAGAATTTTCCTATATATTTCTATGTAAAAATTTGGTTGGCCAATGTGGCTCCGCCCTACCCCCGGGGGTCATGATTAGAACAAACTTGAATCTACACTACCTGAGGATGCTTCCATATAAATATGATCAATTATGGCTTTGCTATTCTTGAGAAGATTTTTAAAGAATTTTCCTATCTCCGCGTATCCTAAAAATAAAAATATTTTTTTCTAAAATTCAAAAGAAGCGTACTACAGAATTCGTACATCACAATAACAGCATTTTTATTATGGAAA